AAAGATAAACAGAGCAAAAAATCGAACGGAAACGGAAACCAGCGCTTACCGTTCACGAGTCGCCAGTCACCAGACTCACCACCGTCCGCCGACACAGCCACACCACACAGCAGCGTCCACCAGACCACACCGTCTCGACCGTCGTACTCGTTCGGTCGTTCCCTTAGCTCCTCTCCGCCGATTTTAATTTTGCAATTGGGCGTTTTCAATTGTGAACTGGCCAACTGGGACTTGGCTAATTGATTGGGGGCATTGGGCCCATTCATTTAGGTTTGGTTTGGGCCTTAATTTTTTTTAAAAAGGCCCAAACAGCCAAAACAAAGGGAAAGAATCAAAAATTTCTGGGCTTCTGGTCTTCTTCTCCCTTCCCGGTGGACGGCACTGAACTGAAGGTGAAAGGCTGAATTGAAGGGCGAAAGGCTAAAGCAGTGAAGCTCCTGGCGGACCCAGCACGGGCGACCGCCCCCCATCGCCGGGTGCTGGGTCCGTCTCTGTTGGTGGCTTGATGAGTGACGATGGCGACTTGGTGTCATCCAGTGTAGAGATGGCAGCCGGTTCGGGACGGGCCACTCCCCCTCCCCACCTTGCCTTGTCTAGAGAGGGTGCATGGCGCGGGCCTGTCCCTTTTTTTCAAAAATTTTCAGTTAAAATACGAATTCAAAATTTTAAAAAACAAAGTAAATAATGCTCAAACTAACTACATCAATATCCAAAGCATGCACTCGAAACAAACAATTAAAAAAAAAAAAAAAAAATTTCACGGGGCAGCAATCCCCGCCCCGCCTTGCCAACCAGTCGGGGAGGATTTTTTTTTGCTCCATTCGAGGCAGGACCCCACCAAGACGGGGCAGGACGAGTTTTTTTGCCAACACTAATCCAGTGAGTGAACAATGGTCGAGTGTGTGGCCTGTAGGGAGGGCAATTTCCTTTTCCTTTGCTTTATTTTTTATTTTAATTCAAATTAAGAGCACGATCGTTTTATGATAAATTTGAACAAACATTTGAAAGATTATGAACTGGAGGTGCCAAAAAGCAGAGGTTTGAGATCCCAAAGTGAAATCCACCTTTGAATTCAATTAAAGTGTAGGTGCAGTTGACTAGGGATGACAAGTGTTGACCTACTATGAGTATTCATCCTATATAGCAGCTTTTGACGGTATGTAGCATTGCACAGAGTAACGAAGTTCATCTTTATAATAAATAATTAAACGACAATTCATTATTCCCAGCATTTTTCTCCCTCTCCTCCCCCTTAGAAATTGAACGTTTCAATCCTGTTATCACATAAATTGACATATCACCAATATTCCATCATCATAATCGTAAATAGCATTATTCATTTTCTTATTCCCTTCCAAGTATTATAAAATATGATGCTCTCAGCCAGCCTATTCCAATGGATATTGCCATCAGCTTAAAGGACTAAAGGAGGATATTTTAGAAAATGCAAGCTAAAAAAACACGCACCACGGAGTGCTCCCAAGTAACTTTATAAAATAATAAAATTTCCGCCCCAAGAAGGAAAATATTATCTTAGACAAATAATCAGGGGAATTTCTGACAAAATTGAGAAGATGCTGGATACTCTTTTCCATTCCAGC